TATCCTTTCAAGTCAGATTGCAGAGCAAGAAAGAAACATTTCACCCTGGGGACTTGTGGTTGGACAACAGGTAAACCTATGGTAACAGGTGACTTTCAGGCAGAACATTTGGAAGAATGACTCTCAACAATTGAAATTACTTAAAGCTAAAATTTGATTTTAAAGGCCCAGTATAAAAAGTAACAATCAAAATACTAGGAATACTAGGAATATAAGTTAATCAAGTGTAAGCAAGAACACAATATAATAGATGGGTGTTGCTTCTGGCACCAGCAAAAATGTGTTTTAATGGTGGGCAGGGCAAACCAAAGAAAGTGCTGCACCAGCTCACCCATCCATGTTAAACATGCACAGATCAGCATGAGAGTGAGCACAATGCTCCAGGGTGTTCCTGCTTCATCTTTTGTATGTCATTGCATTGTTTCCCGAACTTCACCTAGGGTCCGCACAGCATTTTGTGTGGTTTTGTCTTTGCATTGGGCTATCCAGATGGTGAGCAGAAGTGCTACAAAATAAACCAAGGGTTCTCCAGGCACTTTTGTTTTGAGTGACCACCAGGCAGCTGCTTGTTCATATGAATAGGGCCTAAATCTCTGACCCAAATAGCAGAACTAATCTGGGTCAACCTGGAGGCTTGTGCAAACATGCAAGTATAAGAAAGATTCAATCATCAAGGCTATGGATTTTGGAAAATTTATTCTTTTCTGGGAACAAATGCATTTAGAAAAGAGAAGCATCTGATTATGATCATGCTGGACAGTTTTACTACACACATGTACTTGTGTGTGGCTTAACCACATGTGTCATCAACTGGCACAGAAGCCTCTCTTTTACTTTCACAGTCTATGATATAAAATGGCTCCTAACAGCTTATACTTCAACTTAGCATATGATCAGGACTTCAGGTTTTAATTTGCAAACTCTTTTGCGTTAGACCTGATTCATGCATGCTGATGCCTACCAGGCATCTCAAAGCCAGCAAAATCCAAAGCTATATGGGATCCAGAAACCTCATAGGTAGGAAGCCATGCAACATGATGTGGCTGGTGGGAATACTTACCTCAGCCCTTTGGCAGGAGATGGTATCTTGTGGCATCTTCTGCTCTGGCAGGAACCGCTGCAATTACTTTGGCCAATCACAGTTGAGCTGGGAATCCATTGTGCTGTTTCTGGACCCCAAGTAAGGCCTGTCCTTCATCAGGATTTGTTTTCCTATGTTGCAATGTGGGGAGGATTACTATTACTACCATTCCACTACCACCACCACCACCCTATACAGATTACATGGTCCTCCTCTCCATTTCATCCTCACAAGAACCCAGCAGAACAGATGAAGATGAAAGACTGTGGCTGGCCCAAAGTCACTTGGTGAGCTTCATGGCTGAGTGGGGACTAGAATCTGGATCTCCTGATTCCCCATCCAACACTCTAAGCACTACCAGGTATTTTTGCAGATGGCACTTTAGGAATGCACTCTTCCTTCTCAAAGCAACCTGACTTTTCTCCCACCATCTCCCTGCCCCCTTCCTTTTTGCAGCTCCTCCTCCTAGTTCCATGTGTGTATTAATGAAAAATTTATACATGTACATGTATTAGCACATGCATATGAAGGAATTACCCCCACTCCTCAGTGTATTGGGATCTAAAGCAGAAAAAGTCCATTCAAAATTGGTTTCAGGCCTATTCTTTGTATTTAAATGGGTTGTAGATTGGTCTGAAAGCTTCACAGCTTTAGTTGAGTTCCCATATTTGAAAGATCTTGCTACACCTGAGGGATAGGCTAAGTACAGAGATATGTAAAAGACAGTCTGGATGAGGTAATAGATATCACCTTTCCTAGGCTTTTGTCCTAGGATCACAATTCCCCCCATGTCAGACCCTTGACTGGAGATGCAATTTGACAACATCTGGGAAACTCAAGGCTGGGAAAGCTTTGCTACAGTGCTATATATTGACGAATGTGCCCGTTTCAAACTCTGCTCAGTTGCAGAACTCACTGAGGTTCCCTGAATGGGTCAGTCTGCCTAACTACTTCACAGGATTATTGTGAGGCTAATGGAGGGATTCATACCACTTTAAGCACCTTGGAAGGCCAGGATAAAAGTGAAATAAGTAAAATGAAAACCGTATTAGGTGCTCTGTCTGCTTCAGTTGGATGATGGCAAAAGAGGTTAGTGTTTGCTATCATTCTGCTTATGATTTCTATTCTGGAGTGTTTGATTAGCCAATCTGGTCTTTGAACAAACCTAGTTGCAAGCATCTGTCACCAAAGTCTGAAGATCTCTGAATGAATATGAGTAATGAAAAACCACCCATGTGGGCCATGGAACTAGGGCAATGCTATCATAATCACCACCATCACCGTTATCAACATTGTCATCACCTGACAGGAAATCATCAACAGAGGAAACGTCTAGAAAAGTTTTTTAAAAGCCGAATGAAAATCCTTCATGTTTTAAAAGCAATTACTTGATTTTTAAATTCAGATTTTAAATGTTTTGTTATCTGCATTTTATATTTTATTGTATTTTATAAATTGCAAACTTTGACTATTGGACATCATATAAATGAAATAAAGACACATATAAAGCAAGCAAGCAGTTAGGAAATTTTGGAGGAGTGCAGTCATGCTAGCTGGGGGATGCTGGGAATTGTAAGACTTTGTCTAAAAATGCATGAAATTGCACCTTAAATACAGGCTTGCCAGTTTTTAGGGCCAGGATGATTACTTAATGGGCTAAGCAGTGAGTCCTTTGGTTCAACTCAGCTGTTCAACAACATTCTTTAACTAGATGACAGCAACCACCAAGGTCATCATGACTGAGTGTGTGTGTGATGTGAGCTGAAGTCCACTCTATCTGGAAGACACCAGGTTAGGCAAATCTCTAGGGCTTTCTCCATTTGTGTCATATATTGAGACACTGTAACACCGAGACATGAAGGAATTTGGCATGCATCTTAAGGATGCAATTATACATTTAAGGTCTGAATACCAGCTCAACCACCCACACCCATTGTGAGGGGAAGGGCAAAAATTGTAGCATTCACAATAATGTAGCTAATGCAATAGCTTCATTGAGCAATACGTTTTTTTTAAATGTGTCATGTTTCAGCAAGAAATGCCCTAATAGTAGTAAATGTCAGAACAAAACTTCTATAGTCATGACATATTGTTTTCATTTTAGAGTCAAAAACCAGCTCAGCTACAACTTTGAAAAAGGTGTGAGGGAAGATGCAAAATTCATTGGGTTGGATCCAGACAGCTATTTAGAAAAAAACCACTTAAGTCCATGAGACATGTTACTCTTGACTGAATTAAACTGATTTCAGTGGTTAGACTCCAAGCATGAACAACTCTAGATCCAACCTTTTTAAAGTTATGTTTAAATTATATATCATGCTTCACTAGCAAATATATTTTGGTGATGCCTTATCCTTCTGATAGGTATTTCAAGTATGAATAAAAAGCAATAGTTCTGTGAGGCACAGGAATGGTAAATACATACTGTCTACTATGAGCATTTTACTGAACTAGACAAAAAAACTGAAGAGTTTCTCCCTACACCTAATCTGTCTTACAGTATTTCAGATTTAGGAATGTCAGAACTAGCCTAACATTAATTTTAAAAAGGTTCATTAAGTTTCAGACACATCAGTGTCACTCAGCCAGTGCCAGGACCAGACAATTTAAGTGGCTTGTTCTTGATACTATCTTAAACTTTAAAATTTGCTCTGCATCCCTCCAGCAACTTGATCCAGTGTAGTAACTCCTAACACAAATGCATTATAGTAAAACACTTCTGAGCATTCCTTTGCAGGGCACTTGATATGCATCAAAGGCCAAGCTTAAGTCATACTTAGAAGAAAGGCTGCGTAGATGGAGAAGCTCTTGCAGTTGTTTCTCTTTCTAGGGCCCTCCATGGTAGTTATAAGCAGGACCATGGAAAGCATGATCCTCGGTTCAGCCAACACAACAAACCATGGTGGTATGGAGAAACCATAGAACTGCATCTTATTATGGTTTCTAAAGACCAGACTTACCATGGTAAAATACAGCTTAGTTCAGCCAACACAACAGATTAAGAGTGGTAAAACACTATCATGGCTTGCCATGTTGTCTGAACCTAATCCTAAGGTATTACTACTTTGAAACTCTTGGTGTTTCAAGAGGAACACCGAGACTGATCCTTTAAGTTCCCACTCTTGTTCAGGATACAAAATTGCAATGGTTGTAGCCCATTTGCCTTCAGCTCATGACACAAGAAAGATCTCAGACGGGTCATCCCCTCCCATCCCAAAATGCAGTGGTAGAGAGAAGATGTTCATGAAGATAGTAGTTATTTTAACAAAGCTGCATGAGTGAGAAGCTGCATCTGCCAAGATATCCTCTTCTGCAGATTAGGGGTACAGGATGCCCCTTCCCACCAATTAATTTGAATGCTGCAGAGAGGAAGAAAGGGGAACAAAGCATAACATTGGATTCCATATGGCAAATTGAAATTGAAGGTAGATCAGAAAAAGCAGGAAGGTTAGTCTAGCTATAGTCATTATCATTTGCTATAGAATCCCCAAGACAGCGGACATGGTTCTATAGATGCTTTTTATCTACAATTTGCTCAGTTTCAGGCTGTCCAAAATTTGGCTTCATAACCATTTCACAGGGCAGCAAAGTGCTGAGTAGAACAAGAGCAGTTACACCTAACAGTAAGACAAGATATCTGTGCATTTTTCCTTTTTTCCTCTTGTTATATCAGATGACCTTTTTTTAGTAGTCTACTGCCTTATGTTATAGAAGACATACAACCCAGGCAAAATTATTAACATTCAGATCAACTCAAGTCACTAATTTCAAAACAGATAAAAGCAACCTCACCATTGATCTGTTGTTAGTTGTTTCTTGTAGCCAAACTAGCCCAAGCTCCTTGTCAACCAACTAAAAGTTGTTTGGTTTGGAATATAGTAAAAAAAGTACCAATGTAGTAATGAGACAATATTCCATGTTAATATGCAAGAACATTTTATTTATATTCAGCTGAATGTTCTAGTGCTTGCATCAACTGGCAAAGTATCTTGGTTATACAAGTTTGTTCCAAGCACTCTAGCAAGGAATGCTAAATGTACAGTTTACATTTGAGATGTGTTCCCATTTGCTTTTATTACAAATGAAACAGCAAACGGTAACAACCACACTATAGACCTTTGTGATATTTAATACTCCTCGCCTTCATCTTCACCATCCAAGGAGTCTGTGCCTACTTCCTCATAATCCTTCTCAAGTGCAGCCAGATCCTCCCGTGCCTCTGAAAACTCTCCTTCTTCCATTCCTTCTCCTACATACCAATGGACAAAGGCACGCTTGGCATACATTAAGTCAAACTTGTGGTCCAGGCGGGCCCAGGCTTCTGCAATGGCTGTAGTATTGCTGAGCATACAGACTGCACGTTGGACTTTGGCCAAGTCACCACCAGGAACTACTGTTGGGGGCTGATAATTTATACCCACCTAAAAAGCAGGAGAAATACAGATATGGGAAGACTCTCTTTTAGCATAAAAATGAACATTCGAACTGTCCTCTGCAAATCAAAAAGGAACTGTCTCTCAACACATAAGAGCTCTACATTCAAGAGGATTGGGTTTGAAAGGGAATAATTTCCTAATAGTTTAAGCCTTTTTAACCTAGATTCCTTTCTCAGACTGAATTATGTCCAGCAAAATTAACATACCCCTTTGTGGATGGGTGTCCCAGCATCTAGCAATATTTTGCTGCCCTTCTTTCCACCAAGCACATTTAATTACTCTTGGAACCAACATGTAGAAAGTGTTTGCATGAGTCTTGCTGGCAGCTATTATATCCCACAAACTATTATCTCCTTGCTCTTTAGGACAAATCATTAGTTATCTCCTTGGTAACTTAAACAGAAAAGGCTCTATAACATTCCCCAGTAAGCATGGCAGGCTGGGATAAGCTAGAAATTGTGACTTTCTTTTCTGTCTAAAGAAGCATAAGATTGTACTCTGAGAAGTTTACTTTGATCACTTGTAAAGTTACACATTTGTGATGTGCTTATACAGAAACTACAAATCTAAAAATGAACAATAAGCCATGTTGAATCCAATGATCAGTACTTACCTTAAAACCAGTGGGACACCAGTCAACAAACTGAATGGTGCGTTTCGTTTTGATAGCAGCAATAGCAGCATTGACATCCTTGGGGACAACATCTCCACGATACAACATGCAACAGGCCATGTACTTGCCATGGCGAGGATCACACTTCACCATCTGATTGGATGGCTCAAAGCAAGCATTGGTAATCTCAGAGACTGAAAGCTGCTCATGGTAAGCTTTTTCTGCTGAAATAATGGGTGAATATGTTACCAGGGGAAAATGGATTCTGGGGTAAGGCACCAGGTTTGTCTGAAACTCTGTCAGATCCACATTTAAGGCACCATCAAATCTGAGAGATGCCGTGATTGAGGAGACAATCTGACCAATGAGACGGTTAAGGTTGGTGTAGGTTGGGCGTTCAATGTCCAGGTTCCTACGACAGATGTCATAGATAGCTTCATTATCAACCATGAAGGCACAGTCAGAGTGTTCAAGGGTGGTGTGGGTAGTCAGGATCGAGTTATATGGCTCAACAACAGCAGTTGAAACTTGGGGAGCTGGGTATATAGCAAATTCTAATTTTGACTTCTTTCCATAGTCAACTGAGAGGCGTTCCATCAGCAGAGAAGTGAACCCTGAACCAGTGCCTCCTCCAAAACTGTGGAAAATCAGGAATCCTTGCAACCCAGTGCACTGGTCAGCCTGAAAGAGGAATACGTATATTATTAAAGGCCAGTAAAGGAATGAATGTTGTCCTTTACCTTCCCCTCTTGCTTATGGCATTGTACACAGCAGCAATAAAATAAATATATTTTGAAGTAATACTTTCTTTTAAATGTTGCCTTTTGCTAAGTTAATGATTACTGTTAGCCAGTTGTATTAGTTGAGTGTTGAAAATGGCATGAAGATACATGAAAACATAAGAGCCCTGCTGGATTAGAGCAAACATTCATTTACTCCAGCATTCTGTTCACACAGCTGCCAATTAGCTGCTCACAGCCTCCCACAAGCAGGGCAAGAGTGCAGCGGCCCTCTCCCGCCCAACTTCCCAGCAACTAGCTCCCCAGCTTAGATGAATTGCCCCTGTAGAACCAAGTAAATCTAAGTGTATGTAGCAACAGACTTCCTGATCATCTCCTTCTGGAGAGGCTGTTTATAGCAAGAACTATGAACATGACTCCAATTAAGTCAAGCAGAGACTTGCTATTCAAAGGCATAAGTTTTATATTACATGGTAGTCATAGGCAAATTCCATGTCCTCATGTTTATGTATACACACAACACAATGTATAGAATTCAAATTATTATTCTTATCTTACTTTGTTTCCATTTGCTTATTTCTTTTTTGGCTCAGTTTCCAAACCATAAGAGAAGTGACCAAACTCACAATTCAGTCGCCTGGCAGAGGCCTCCTATAGTAATCTAAAGTATAGTACTAAATAGGGTAAGTAGTTATGCTTGCTCAAGCCCTGTTGATTTAACTATACCAAACCTGCCATATCAGACTTTCCTCATGCTCCCAAATTAAGCAGCATGAGACAATAGATAGTTTCTAGGAGAATTATACACGTAAGCTTTTCCCTTGATTTTAGAGCTTGGGAATCCTTACATTTTGACAGAATATGCTAATTTTGAACCTTCAGATTTTATTTTTAAATAGTGTGCAAATCCCAAATTAAGTTAAATAGTGCAAAAACACTAGAACATACCAGCTTCCTGACACGCTCCAGTACAAGGTCGATTATTTCTTTGCCTACAGTATAGTGACCTCTTGCATAATTATTAGCAGCATCTTCCTTGCCAGAAATCAGTTGTTCAGGATGGAAAAGCTGCCTATATGTTCCATTCCTCACCTCATCTGCAACAGAATGTACATGTTATTCTCCAATAAAGACAGAATATAGTGTAATTTTTGTTTTGGTGAAGTTCATTATTTTCTACTAGATGCCAGTTCACAAAACCCTTGCATGAAATGAGCAATTTCCACCATGATTATAAACAAAGTTTCAAATTATGTGTGCAGTTGATATGATTCACTGGCTTTAAGCCAACCATGTACCCATGCAAGAGTCAGAACTGTGTAGATAATCATACCAGACTGCTATTTAATTGGGGGCGGGAGAAGGGAAGCATGAGATACTAAATGCAGCATACTGCTCCCTTCAGCTGAACATGCTGATGAACACTACCTGTGATTATCTGACCAGGTTCAGGTTAGATACTGGCTTGTTACCAAGTCTGTAAGGGAATTGTGCATGTAGCACCCACCTGTGCTTGTAACTTCCCCAGCATGCTCAAAATGTAAGGACCCACGTCTGCACATAGCTAACCATATGGAACCAAGCTGTCAGTAGCATCAAATTTCAAAACAAAGAGTAGCACCATTTCTGCTTCTCCACGCCTCTTAGCCTCTGAAGAAGTAAAGTAGTTGCCCCAGAACATCCCTGGAGTTACAGGCAACTTGTCCTTCACAAAACGAATTAAAGCAGGCCTTGTGCAGCATACAGTTGTTTGGACCAACTTTTGAGACAAGCAAATTATGATATTCTCATAATAATCCTAAGAAGTTGTTTTGCAGGTTTGTTCATCTTGAACATGAGAAGCCAAAAAATTTTATCTTAGTTATAAAGAAGGATTTTGTTTTAGCATTAACAAAAGTCACATAGCAAAACATTGTGTTAGGGTAATAGCACACTTTTTTAAAAAAAAATTTGAATCTATATTAACCATTTTACTCCCATCTTTAAGCCATCATTTTAAAACATTGAATATTTATAACAGCAAGATAATTCAAGAATTTTCACGGAGTGTGAACATATAACCCATCTTTCAAACTTGTTTCTATAGTTTAACCCCTATTTTGCAGGATATTGTGAGAGAAAGGAGTACAAATATAAGAAATTGTTTTATACCGAACAGTAGAGCAAAAGCAAGCAAAAGATACAATGGAGACCTATTTGTAGATCACAAGGTAATTAGCAGCATATTTAACTGTTCAACAGCCGCAACAAACTGACTCTCCAGCAATTGTACTGCTGAACTGAAGAATGCCTGGAAGCAGGGAGAACCAGAAATTAATTTGTGATTCATTAAGGATTAGTATGCCAACCAGTTTCCTATGGTCAGAATTCTTGAATTACTCAACTGGCTGCAGTTGATCTAGGATTCTATTAAAAACAAAGTAGATCCAAAGTAGTGAAGTTAGTCTGCCTGCTCCTGCTTGAGGTGGGGAGGCCCAGAAGAAAAATCTTTCATCCCCTGGCTGGGACAGTTCCCCCAGCCAATTTTTCCAAACTGATCAATTTGGGGAACACCAAAACGAATTTCTATGGAATACTTTCGTTTCAAATGAGTAAAATGCTTTTAAAGACAATGTATAGGAAAAATATTTTTATGCAAGCCAGTCTGCAACATTAGAGTATGATAATTCCTGTGCCTATTGTTTAGTTTGGTATTTTCAATGTCTTAAAGTTTAAATTGATATTCAAATATGGTACTGATTTTTAGCATAGTGACTACATGAAACTTTGCCTATGTAAAAGCAATTTTTACTTTTTTCTGTTTCTCAGATGGTTGTCATTTAGTGTAAGTACTAAGATGCAAGGTGCAACTTTTGCAGAGCTGAGATATTTGCAGCAAAATGAGTTTAGGCTTGGTAAATATTATTTCGGTTTCCCTACAACTTTCCAGAAGCTTTACATCTCTCAGCACCTAGTTCTGTCTTTTAAAAAAGTGAGCAAAAAGAAAATATTTGGCTAAGAGACCAGAGTGGGTGGGGTTTTAAGCCTATATTATTAGCTCATAGAATTGTAGAGTGGAAAAAGGTAAATAAGGTCATCAGGAGAACACCTTCTCAATTCAGGGCTCCAAATTAAAGCATCTAAACCTTTTCTTAACTATAGACTTATCTGTATTAGGTGCTGCCTGTGCACTCTTCAAAAACCAAATGTTGTAGATGCTTAGAAGCTGCATCTTAACTCTGGTAATACTTCATGACTCAGGGCCAGAGGAAGTAGTACTGGACAAAGAGGAATACTAATTTCTTGAAGGTTACTGTGTATTCATGCTTTAATTAAAATAAAGCAGGATATCTATTAACAGCTTTTCTAATCAGTCCCCTACAGAATGTCTCATGACAGCTTACAATAAAGAATAAACAGGTATTTGGAAATAGATCCTAATTGTGCCTTGCACTGGCTCTCAGGCTACTTGTTTTATAAAGCATCCAAAAGGCAGAAAGGAAAAAGGGACTTTCAGACAGTCCAGGCTTTTAGTTATATAATTCTCACCACCACTCTGCAGAAATCATTGCTTCAATTCCAGCTATTCAGTTAATGGGCTGCATTTACCTATTACTGCTGGCTCCAGATCCACGAACACAGCACGAGGGACGTGCTTTCCAGCACCAGTCTCACTGAAGAAGGTGTTAAATGAGTCGTCTCCACCACCAATTGTTTTGTCACTTGGCATTGTGCCATTAGGCTGAATCCCATGCTCCAAGCAGTAGAGTTCCCAACATGCATTGCCAATCTGCACACCGGCTTGGCCAACATGGATGGAGATGCACTCACGCTACAGGAAGGGGAGACAGAGGGAAAAGTTAATATGAATACAATTTCTTCTTTCTTTGTTACTGTAAACTGAAAGGCGAATTGCCACTTAATCCATTAGAAGGGGAACATCCAAGGACCACTAAAGGAATTTAGTGGTCCCTGGATATGCAACACTGCTGACCTAAATGCAGAAGTACAGCCAGTTTGCACATTCAACAACCCATAGGTGGTCAAGGATGAGCAGGAAAGAGCAGATGCACCACCTGTATGTCGCATGCCAGTCACTTCCGCTTTTAATCAACAATATTGGTCATTGTGCATGACATACACACCAAGAACCCTACATTGTTTGCTGCAAAACTACTGTGTGATTTATTTTTGGTTAATTGCCAGGTTGCTTAGCCCTTAAACAACCTGTGCTCCAGCTTCACACATCATGTTTGATAGCTTATGAATGGGCTGACTGTAGCTTGCTGATTGAAAGTAGAAGTGGCAGGTGTGCAGGAGACGCACAACTTCCTTCTCAGCTACCTTTACAGCTGTGTAATTGCTTGGTGTGACTTTCTTCCTTAGTAGGTGAAGAGGCTCAGGGCAAGAATTCCAAGGACATGGCATCAGCCATCAAGAAAACAGCAGTCCCATGCCCTACTCACTGTTTTATAATGCCTCTTTATTTAAACAGCTTTCCCCAGCCAAGTGCCCTCTGGGACATTCTAATATGGCAAGGGTAATTATGTGATTAACATATCAGCTTTCCCCTACCTGGTGCCCTCCCAATGTGATGAACTACAACTCCCAGCAGCTCAGCCAATGTCAGTGATAGCTGGGGGATTATGGGACTCATAGTCCAAAGCACTTTGAGAGTAGCAGGTTGAAGACTCACCTATTAAAAAAATGGAAAGTTGCCAATATTGGCTTGACTGCACCACTACATCAGAACTGCAATCCATAACCAAAATCCTTTATATCATAACGGAAGAAATCTTGGACAACTCTCTGGACAACCAAAGAAATCCCAAGTCATTGATCAGTGACCCTTCACTTGTCATTCAAATGCCATTTTAAGGGTCAGACTTGAGTGCAGTATTTTAGCCAGTACAAAATGCCTACAAAAACTGGACCATTTCTAGATTTGCTGTTAGCCTCTGCCAAAGAAAGGTCTCCTTGCTTTTCTGTTCTTCAGAAACAGTATTTGGGGAAATCACTGTAGTAAAAACAACAGCTAGAATATTAATAGGAAAGTGCTGGCACCAGTTTTGTAGACCTGTACTGCAATGTAATTTAACCCAGAAAAAAGCAATCAGAATTAAAAGTTAACCAGTTAAAGCAAGGTGAACCTTGTGCCAACAAGAGAATAAAAACAGCCTTTTTACTAGATGCTGCCATAGGATGTTGAAACATCAGGGAAGGGAAGAACTCTGAGAGGCAGCCATCTTCTTTAGAAAACGTCCCACCATTTTGCAGCAAAGCTTCTGTACAAACTTAGGAAAGGAGAACAGAAAACCAAGTGGCCAAAAGTGTGCCACGAATGCCAGGACTCCTAAGGAAAACTCCCAGCTGGTGAAGACACAGTAATAGGGCGAGAGGGACTTAAACAGAGGAGTCAATGTGGAGGATCAAAAACTTTCCCACTTCCGCTGCCCTCGAGACAAAAGAAAGGTATTTGTTTTTTAAGATGTCAGCTGTAAGTGTCCCAGACAATGAATCATGCTCAAGACATTTAAGTTTCAGCTTCTTGACGTGTTATTTGTCCCCTTGATTACAGGTCATGCAGACGAGGCTTTACGTATTGCTGAGCACCTCCCTGCTAAGAAGAAATCCAGATACTATTCGAAAGAAAGAAGAAAAAAAAAACAGACGGAGAGCCTCCGCAGGAAGGTCGCAGGGAGGGACACGAGCGATAACTCGAGGCTGCGGGGAACGCCACGGCCAAGCCAGGGAAGCAGTCAAAGTGCAGCTGCGGCTGGTTCGGTTTCTTCGCGGAGGGGCTTTATACGCTGACCCCTGAAAATCACCCGTAGCTTGTCCTCCAGAATCTTGGGCAGGGAAAGAGAAAACGAACCATCCAGTTTGTCTCGTCTTTCTGCAACCAGCTCTCCTCCAGATGCGTCAGACTACAAATCCCACTATCCCCAGTGAACATACCGGCTAGAGGATGCTGGGAGTTGTAGTTCAACCCATCTGCAGAGAACCCAGGTGAGGTAGTCCGAACTAGCCTACCTCTTTCGCACCTGTGCCCTTCGGATCCTTGCGGTCACCCGTCCTAAGCCGCCATCATTTGCATTCCCGCTACAGATACCCTTGGTAAGCAACTTCGCCAATACTTCCTGTTCTCCATTCTCGCAACCAGCCCGGCGCGTCCTCCGAGGGGCAGGTCGACCAAGTACAGCTCACCGCAAGGCTTTCCGCGTCCTCTTTTCCTTAGTCAAGGGCGCGCGGTTTTCCGCAAAAAGCGCCATCGGGAAAAAGCCTCAAGAGTCGTCCCCCGCTCCCCTCGCTTTTGCTGGGACGCACGGACATCACTAGCGCGGCACAGAAAGTGGGGGGAAAGCAAAGGGATAAAACTGAGACAGTCACCGACAAAACTGGTCTTCTTCTCGTTACATAACTCTGAAACGATTTCTTCATAATACGGACGGAAAAGCAGGAAGCCCCGAGGGAAAAAGGAAGAGTGGTCCTTACCATGTCTGCGGTAGGTTACGAGTCTAGGAGGGTCTCGGTGCTCTAGCAACAGCAGACGCGCTACGGGTCTGAGCGGCACAGCAAAAAACAGCTGCTCTGCCCCCGGAGCGCCCTTATATAGGGCGCCCAAACGAGCGCTTTTCTTCTTGCCGGGCATTGGACGGCACCTCGCGCTCCTTGCGCCGCCCCTACGCGCCATTGAATAGAGGGGTAAAGGGCGACACCTCCGCTGCACCTTCATTGGGCAGCGGCTACGAATGCGCCTCTCTGCGGACAGCCATAGGGTAATTCGTAATGGCGCAAAGCTGAATGATCTATTCCCGCCAAATCAAAAGAGTTCCGAATAACTTCCCCAAGCTAGCGCCCTCCAGGTGTGTTGGCCATGCTTCCTGGGAATGATGTGTAGCCCATGTGAGCTGGAAAACGATGGAGGTTGTAGTCCGGCACATCTAAAGTACAGCGGGCAAGGGAAGGCTGGAAAATATCCTCCGCGCCGGCACACCTACCACCCTCGCATACCTACCACACTCGCATACTTTCTCCCTCTGGGGAAGCTGCTTTGTGGCAAATTCGTACGCTCGCGTTTATTGGGGACCTTGAGACGCAGGTGCAGTACCCAAGGAGCTGCCTGTCTGGTTTTTGAAACGCTGTTCCTAATTGGTACTGACTTCCTTCCGGGGAAGAGAAGGAAGCTGCTCAGGAGATGATTGTTTCTGCATTTCTCGCCGGGTTCTGTTTATGTTTTGCATCACGAAAGGAGCGTCTGCCTGGAAATAACGCGCTGATGTTTTTGCTTCACTTTTCTAAGCGTCTCCCGGAGTCGCCTCATCAAAGCAAAAATAAAATAAAATAAAAAATCGGAAGCCCGAGTGTATTTAGCTTATGGGGCTGCTGCTAGGCCTGCTGCTCCCCTAGAAGGACCCATGAGCGTGTGGGGCTGTAGCAGTGAGCAATGCGGCAAGCACAAGAGTTGAGGCGCAGCCCCACCGCTTTGCAGAGCCCTTGGCCATTTTTTAATTTGCTTCCTACCTCTTCCCTGTCCCCCTGTGCTTTCCTGGAAACTCTGCAACCTTTAATTAGTAGAAGGAATCAGCATTCCATAGAATTCATAAAGTGCCAGTGTAAAAGAACATGATAATTAACCAATCCCCTTGAACTTAAGTTATTTCTAAGTAAAGATACTAGAGAAACAAATTTTTTTGGGTTTCATTAATAGATGTGTGGGTGTCTGAGGAAACAGGTGTTCATTGGGATGTCTATAATGACTAACAAAAAAGAGGTTCTCAAACTGATGTTTGCCTGGGAAGGAGCTGTGCTCTCTTAGTCAGCTCTGAGTTACTCAGTTCTTGCTTGAATAGTGTTTCTGTGTAGGGCTAACTTTCCCAAGTCTAGGTCTTTCTAGAAGTTTTGTCCTATGGCTCCCATCATCCTTGCTGATTGGTATGCCTACCTCATTGGATTGATGGGAAAGATTCCCCCAAACACCTGGAACAGGAGTAGTGAACTTGATGTCACCTGATGGCTCCCCATGGGACTAAGTGCTTCCATACTGAACTCTCTGTGGATCAAATGATAACATCCTTGTACTGGCTAAAGTGCCAGCTGGAGTACCAGTGCTTTGGTTGGGGTCCTGGCTTCACTGCACACGGGCATTCCTCAGCTGGGGAAAGTGCATAGACAGCAGAGCTGCTTAGACAGATCAGCTGGAGGAGCACTGCTTCAGGCTGGTCCCTTGATTATAGATACAGCTTTGGAGCACAGGGGCTTTCCCTGGGCTAAAATACTTGGCAAGCCACTCAGTCATGGAATCCTGCTGTTATTACTGATCACTGATGGGAATTAACAGATTCCTCCCCAGGCTAGAATTTAGGTGGTGAGGCTTTAGGAAGGGACTTCACCCAAGGCTCCATAGACCAGAGTTTCCCTGTTCCTCATCTGGAGGTACTGGGTTGGGAAAGGCTGGTGCAGGAATTGTTGGAACCTGTGTGAGCAGGTATCACCTATGACCATCACATTAATTTATATTTTGCTGGATGCATGCATAGCACACAATCTGAAAAGTATAGCTAGTTGATGCTTCCCAGCATGTGTACATATAGCAATTCAAGCATGTCTCCATCAGCTTTGATCATCAATATGTGGGTTACCTGGCTGTTCCACATAGGAGGTTTTATCCTTTGTTTGATGCGTGCCAATAGGTGCAGACAATCCTGAAACAGAGAATGATCAGTTGACCTCACTAAAATATCCACCAGCCAGCTACTAGTATAGTGTATGGTTTATTCATTACAATGTAATGACATCTTGCTTCACAGTATCTATTACTTTTTCAGTTTCTTTCTTTGAATGGCTACAACAAAAAGCAACCTATATACTCTCCATTGTTTTAAAGGTATGACAATGTATACTGGATTTGTAACTGACAGAGGCAACTGTTCCCATTCCAGAGTTATTGGAGAGATAATGATAGCTGTTTTTTTCTCATTTGACAGTAGTAGCACTTAAAATATGTTCTTTAGAGTAATGCCATAAATTGCTCTGAATAACTCTATAAAGTAAATCAGTACTCTTATTCTTATACAGAAGAATGGAGTGGACTGAGGTCAAAATAACAATGGATTGTTTAAGATCTGGTGAGGTCATGGCAAAGTCTGGCTTCTGGATTGCAGCTCCACTTTCGTGGCCATGGACTATGAGATTTGATCTGCTTCAGATATGATGAGCAAGCCAAAGTAGAAACTGAAGTAATAAACAGTGTCGTGATACTTTAGGACAAGATTATATCTAAATCCCTCAGAACCTGTTTCTCATTTTAAAGCAGGTCCATAACCATCACCATGTTTTAACTTGTATATATGCCAGTACAAGACCATCATCATGAAGGAATTAATGTGTCCTTTCTTCATGGATGGCTTGTGTACTTGGCCAGGTGCACATGACAGACTTGCAGGAGATTGGCAAGTTAGGAATATTCACTACTGTAGAAACTGCCAGCCCACTATAATTGCTCTTTGTGACTTATTAACCAGTCCTACAGGCTAGGCAAGATATACCAGAGATACTTTCACATTCTTAAATTACTTAGGTAAGGCTGATGAACTTTAAATATCAGCATAGCACACGGGATCCCCCCTCCCCCAAATTGCTTTTGCTCTGAAGAAACCCACATGCTGGTTTCAGGGCCATTGAGTGACTATTGAGGCTACTTTTAAAAACTGCAATTTATTTTGCCTACTTCTTAGCAGTATCCTCTAATTAGGTCTCTGCTTGACTTCTGATGAAGTAACTTGTTACAGGTAGAAGGTTTGCTGCAAGTCTAAATAATTCATGTGCTTGTTTTGAATAGCAGGAATAACTGTGGGAGAAAAGACAATGACTTATGAAATATATCCTTTATGTTGGGGTGTGCCCCCTGACACTTCTCTGAGGCCAATGGAGTGGGTTAGAAATCTGATAAATAAATAATAAATCACTCTGCTAAGCTGCCCTACCGCACCTACTTTTTGTTTAATTAACACTTTTTCTTACCAGCTCTTGGAACAGCTTCAAAACAAAGCAAGAGCTTGTGGTGCTCCCATCTTCTTTTGCCAGAATGCCTATCGGTCACGTGTGGGCCAGTACTTTTCGCTCAAGTATATTCAGTCACATTCCCCAGGAATGGAGATGGGGGGGAAAAAACAAGAAAATGGGATGTAGCTAACTGTTCATTAAAGTTTTCATTTACTAATTATCACCAGCACTTTCTATGAGATTGGAAATGTTTTCAGAACTGGTTGCAGGCATGCAACACTGGAAATGACACCCCCCTCACACACACCATTACTAGAATTTTCCAGCTCTTCTCTTGATAGGATCCAATTTCTTGGGAGGCACCTGCTTGTGGAAGGAGTCCCAGATTAAGATTTGCAATGCACTAGCATGTTATCTAATGATTACCAAGTATTTAGGATGTTTCCATTGAGGAAGGGAATTTGAAGTGCTTGGTGTCAGCAGGAACTTGGACAGTGATCTAAGCCAAGCCACTGAGACTGTAATGTAAAATTGTCTTCAGACAGTTATTCTATGTGGTTATTTTATCAAGACATATGGAGAAATGACCAGGGCCGTGGACACGATCGCTCCCAAGCGTCCTCTCCCACCGGGCAGAGTCCACTCTTCCCCTTGGTATACACCTGAATTGCGGGCGATGAAGCGGGTTGGGAGACAACTGGAGCGTAGGTGGAGGAAATCACGGGATGAATCTGATCGAACACACTTGAGAGCCCACTATCGGGCTTATGCTGTGGCGGTGAAGGCGGCGAAAAAGAAGTTTTTTCCCGCTTCCATTGCCTCCTCACAATGCCGTCCGGCGGAGCTTTTTCGAGTGGTACAAGGCCTGGTTCGCCCGGGTCCTAAGGAAGATCCGATGCCACCCTCAAAGGCCTGCTGTGACGACT